GGGAGGCTTCACGTCGCACTTGTGCGGGTGATGGATGGGCTCTGCAGGGGTCCGTATCGATAATGTCGCCTCTTGTCGGCCTCGGATGAAGAATTTCAAACCATTATGAACGCAACTGAGTCGTCAGGGTTCAAGTGCGTCTTAGAACGGAGGAAATTCTAGTACGTGCTCGATGAGTCCAAGTAAGAAAGGACCGAGAGCAATATCATCAGTCGTGCTGTGGTCTCACGGGCAGCAGAGACCATCTGGGGCAGGGCTTTCCAACTTTTTTCACGCGCGACTCCAAAAATCACTTTCATACTATTCACGACCCCATGCACTGGGCGAAGTTAGACAGGCTCTTCCTATGCGCTAAAATCGCAAAGAAAAACGTAACTTTGCATTTAGTTGCCGGTTCGTGACCCCTGGGTTGGGATGCCCTGATCTAGGGAGAACTCAAAATTTTAAATCAGGAAAGAAACAGGCGTTTTCATCACTTTATAATCAATAATATATAAAGAAACTTGCTCGGCGAGGCACTCTAATCCGAAAAAATCATGAATGGAACCAAAACCAATAATTTGAGAGGCCAATCAGGGCGATGCAGCCCTTAAATCCGCTCAAGTGAATATCCACTTCAGTGAAATCCGGCTCTAGACCACTTGATTAGAGCTGGATTTGATTACGAAGCACTTCGTAAGTCCTTGATCACATATCAAGTCCACTCCTGTGAGATGATGCAATTCGTTTACCTACAGAATGATATTTTCCAGGGATAGATTACCAGAGTTGTGACATGCTACTCAGGGACTTTTTTTTTCCTCCGGTCTGCTGCGAGTGAAGAGAGGTGAACTGGCTTGGGGTCTCGGAGAAGTAGTCAAGAATCCGAGATTTTTCAGAGGGTCAGTTCTACCTCGGCAACAATATTTACCTTGATGCCTGAGAACAAGCAGAGTAACGAGTGCAAATGCTTTTTTTTTTATCCCTTCGAGAAGCGTGGGACGCCGGTACTTCTCGATTGGATATGCGAGAGTCAGTGGAAAATCTCTCTAGTTTCCGGACGGCAAGAAGGGTCATACCGTCCGCGTTCGTAGAACCTTATTTTGCTTCTTAGAACAGCTCACAAAAGGAGGAAAACTTGGTTCGCTCTGTTCGGTCGATAAAGCCAAAGCCTTAGAAACCCGATTTCCACCGCCTGGACTGTGGAAAATCGTCTTCTGTTGGACTCTGAAAGTACGAGGGCAAGGGGGGGGACAACGCTGCATAATCAATACTACATCAGATTATTGATCTCCCAACAGTCAAATTAAATAAAAGGGATACCCGACCACGAAGCACAGGATATGGCTCATTAATTAAAGCAAGAGCAAGAATGGAGATGTGCCACGAATAACTACTAGGGCGCCATCTCATGAAAGAAAACTACAAGAAAACCATCCAATAACCTGGACTACGTCGTTTTTTCCCTTTAATGTCACCGTGACCATAAACCACATACCCAATCGAGAATATCAGTCTCTTAGCGTGCGTTGGAAGAGAAGAACGCAGTGGCTTCTATCCTGGAGCTGTTATCCATGCGATGATGTCATTGCTTCCATCGCTCTTGACCTGAGGCGTAGCAAAGCACTTCAGAGTGTCGGTATCCTTAATGCTCATGGGAAAAGGAATCATGGTTAGTTTCCAAGTAATGTAGGTCTTCTAAGTCAGATAAAAAAAAGTCAAATGCGTCGCGTCCTGTATGAGACCGTCGAAAGCGGGCATAAGGAAAGTCGTATGCGTCGCTGTGCTACGTGTCGGATTTTGGGGGAAATCGTGTTCGACATAAGGAAAGTCAAATGCGACAGTCGTGGGGCCAAGATCCCTCGGTAGCGTCAGGCGAGAGATGCCCTCTCGTTGTATTTCCGTCGCACAAGGTTTCATAAACAAATTCACATGTGCATTCACGTTTGACCTCATCATTGCATCTATCGTACTGGCATTTTTTATTTTAAATCATGGAGAATGAAATCTCTCATTCGCAAGTACAAGTATCCAGATCCAAGGCAAATGCGTGTCTCTCATGTCTTAGGACATCAGGTAATAAAGAATCAAGTGAGACATGTTTGCTGGATGCTCAACTATGAAGAATAGTATATTTGACATGGTAATCAAGTGTGGCAACCCAATTTCATAACAATACATCGTTTACATCTTTTTCATGGCGATACGGTTCAAGAACCGACCCTGATAATGACAGCGTACATTATTGTCGTCTATTCTTTCAGTCGATAACTTTCATTCTTCATGAGCTGGCATGAAACGCTGCCGGTACAATAAATGCAATAGTGACGTCACACACAAATGCATTGGTGAATTTGCACTTTAATCTGCATTTGAATTTGCACTACGGCCGAGAAATTCGACCGTCGCATTTGACTTTCTTCACATCCCTAAAATCCGACATCCAATACAGCGACACATTTGACTTAGAAAAGCCATAAACACTGGAGTCATGAGATGAAGGTGCAGCTGAAGGCAGCAGATTCGTACGGGTGCGTCGCAACCCATGGGTGATGGGTCGAGAAGCAGCGGGGGACCCTCCGTCCTTCGTCGCGTGTCGAAGACGCCTGCAAGAGTCCTCATGAATTGCATTACGAATCAAATCAGACGATGAGAGCCTTCCAATAATATTTAATTCGCCGTGACTGCGGCACGAAATTTCAACCATTAAAAAGGGCAAAGTAAGGATTCACTCGAGAAGATTGGATGTTTTCTTTTTGAATGACGAGTTAACGTTGGAAGAGTGTAGGATCGGCTTTGGTATACCAAAGCCGATCCCACAATATTTCCATTACATTTCGGCGTAGGTGACAGTATTGCCTTGCTATTGGAGGACCGACTCACCACCAAAGCTGCAGATCAGATCGGAGTGCTCTCAGATTTGTCACATTTCCATCCAGGATGGACCGAGAGAAAGGGTGACATGCACCGGATCCGTTTAAGCTAAACTAATCCGATCTCACAATGGTCCCCTATGGAACTCAGTTTCACAGAGATGAACTTATTCCTATAGACGCCCATTATGAAAACGAATCAGTTTGAGGTTAAACGAATCCGGTGAATGTCACCCAAAGAGAGATAGAGCAGAGCTGTTGCCAAACGACGCGACTCCACTATATCGGGGACATGGCGCAGGAGTGAGAATCCTACGTAGCTGCTGCGATTAGCATAGACCCCCAGCCGGTTTCCGTTCTCCGTATGCTTGCCTCGGTGCGGAGAGACTCGCAGTTCTCGAGTTGGATTCGAGACGTGCCACGGTGAAACCCCTCTCCAGTCAACACCTATCAAGTCTCAAACCAGTCGAAAGGGTTCGAGAGGGAGGCTGATGTCTGAAGGCAGACGGGAAGCCGCATCGCGCATCGTTCTTGGGGGGGGAAAAAAAAAGGATTCTCCGATGACTTGGCGTGTGGGAAGGCCATTCTTCAGGGCTAATCTCTCGGGGCTACGTCCTGAAAGCACTTTCCTGTTGATTACAGTGGAATTCTCGTCGACTCCACAGCGAGAATCCGACAGGTAGATTCCATTCAAGAGGGAAAATATCTGAGCTATTACTCTACAAGGAAAAACTCTCTTGCATCCCAAACGTTTGAAAGCCGTTGTTCCGCTCACGCGGGCGAAAATTTCGAGCAAGTTTTTCTCGAAAAAAAGACAAGAGTCGATATCAGAAAGGATCGGGATCAAGCCCCGTCGAGTTCCTGCCAACGGCACACGAGCCCCCATCGGAGACGCGCTGACTCGCTGACCTGGGACCCTTGCCAGGACCTCGTCGAAGAAGATTGCACGAAGTCAGTCTGAAAGGGACGGAGTCTCTCTCGCGAGTCAATCCGCATTTAATGAGCCCGAGGAAAATGCTCTGTATAAAATCGCTGCCGAAAAGAACGCATTCTGGGCGGGGCCTTTGCCAACTTGCCATATCACGCTAGACCGGTGGCGCTCCTTTCGATTTACCTTGTAATAAAAGCAATGAATGAAGCATGAAGCAATCTAGAGGGAATCTGGCATCAAAACGCAATGAGCAAGGTCCAATCAATATTCATGCCCACTCCAGATTTACGATAGAGGACTCCAGTATCCGGGAAACCTTGCGGGAAGCAAGAGTTCTGCTTAAATTTAAATGTAAAAATGAGACAATTCTATCCTAATTTCTCGTCTCGATACTCGCATATGGATGTTTTAATATATAATGAGAATTGATTTTGGGATCATAAATTTTACTTGTCCTCTCCGTGGGGTATAAAAAAAACTATAAGGGTGGGCCTCAATCCTACTCCCAAGTCAGACTTGCAGTCGCTAACAATTGATCACTTCTGGCAGCACCTCTCGGTGGACAGACGACCAGTCGGTTCAGTCGGTACCAGTCGGTACCAGTCGGTACCAGTCCCGATGGTGTCTGACGTCAGGACCAGTCACGGCGGCGATGTTGTTCTGATCCGCGAGAGGATTCTTACAATTACGGGGATCGATTCCGTCTTCACCCGTCAGCTGCTATTAATCGTTGCTCAATCGATCCGATGGCATTTTTCTTCCCGGAAGATGAGCTTACATTCTGTGATGCCCTCATAGATCATCGCCATCTTTGCTCGCATATTTCTAACGGTTGAGGGGAGCGACGTGTTTGTTAGCAAAGTGACTTCACGACCGAGAACAAGCAAAACAATCCCAGTCAAATGACTGCAGTCTAGAAGGAAAGCCGAATGACCTTTTGTAAGGGCCTTGGTAGGTTGAGTGCTCCATCTCGACGCGGGTGTCAACGCGTTCGGAAATCCCTCTTGACTCCCGGAACCTTGGAAATCTACTGCGTCTTTCTAGAGCGCACCCTTGCGATGCGAGTGGTGGCGGTTCTCGGGCGGGAAGAATTACGGCGTTACGGCGTGTGCGCGCAGGAAAATCCAAATCTGGGAGGACGAGGTCCACACGCGGTGACACGCGTATATAAAGACCGGGAAGCCGAAGCACCTTTTCAGCTCTGCTCTCTGGATCTTCTTTTTCGCATCTGGCTGCGGCGAGCAAGGACATGAGACTCCTCGTCCTTGCTGTGGTTCTCGTCGGGGTGAATGCCGCCATCGGGGTGGATGCCGCCGACGGGGTGGATGCCGCCGTCGGGGTGGATGCCGCCGCCGACGAGGTTCATCCTGACGTCCTCAGAGGTCAGTTCCGCCGCGGCTGTCTCGGTCGAAAGCCTCGTTCTTTCTCTCGGCTTCTTTGTTTCCTTGTCGCTAGGTTTTCTCTTCGTTCATGTTTCTATGTTCGCTGATGTCCTCATCATTTATTTAAGAGCCTTTATTTTGACATCTTAGCGATACACCCCTTCCCGAAACAATCGCTTGATTTCTGGAGCCACGGCTCAGCTGCTTGGCTCGGGGAAAAAATCCTTTCGACAAAACGCGAACGCTCATGACCACGACGAACACGTTTTCGGAGGTTGCGCATTTCGTCGCTGTTTGTCAACATGGCCGACCATGTGCACCTAGCGATCTTAGCGGCTCTTGGATTTGTCTCTTCTGTGATTAGTTTCTCACCGTTTCGGTCACACTGTGCTCGCACTTGCCATTAAATTCGGTTTTTAAACAATTTACAAATACTGCACGCTCGGATTTATTCTCGAAACTCTTTGCATTGAAGCATATTATCCATCCAGATATATCCACCAGAAGGTTGCTATGAAAACATGCAGTGATGGCAGCAACTGAGTAAAAGTAACGCGTTACTGGAAAAAAAGTATTTCTTTAGTGAAGTGACGCGCAACAACTTACTTTTTTCCGGAAGTAACTTGTAACGAGTAACAAATTCCTTGTTTTTTTTTTTGGTGAGAAAGGAACAAAAGTTGTTGTAGCGAGTTCTTTTCCACAATAGGCTTTATTCTATCCATTTCCTCATTGCTTCCAATTCCATTGGAAAGATATTGTTATTTAGATATTTTTTCGCTGCTTCTTTCGTTCGTTGCACCAGCCTTCAGGCGATCAATTCGAGCCGACGAAAGCAGGATCTTTTCATTAATTTTTTATTATTAATCTATTTATTAATTATTTCTGAATGTATCTTCTACCATATTTTTTTTTTAGCTTTAGGTTTGCCTGAACGGCAAGCAAATTGCAGGGCAATTTGTTCGGCTTGCAAGGAAAACTTTTCCCTTCGTTCATCTCTAAATAACCACAATGAGATCGCTGGATCTCCATCCGAGAAGAAATCTTTAAGGCTTTAAGCCTTAAAGCCTTAAACCCACTTTAAGCCAAAAAAAATTAATTCAACATAATTAATTCTCGGGGAAACTCATTCGCATTCAACTCTGCCCGATCTCATTCCTTCTCATCCTCCAAATTCGATTTTTTTTTTGGGAGGGGGGGGGGCGGGCTTTTTTCAGATGAGATACCAAACTGGAATAGTTCCGAATTAACAGATATAATCCATCTGGTTCCACATTCCAGCAGGAAGCGGCTAACGAAGCCAGTCTCGACCCGACCGAGGAAATCCCAGCCGTGAGCCAGCTTGGATCCGGTTGCTTTCCGGTTGCTTTCCGGCTGCTTTCCGGTTGCTTTTCGGCTGGAATTTGGGTCTGAATTTGCAACTGCAGTCTAAGGAATTATGACCGTTTCCCGCCGGGATTTTAAAGCGAATGTCGCCATTGCTCTTTACGTCTCTCTCGCGATTTTCTCGTCCCATTTATCATCGAGTTTCCCACAAAAAAAAAATCGAATTTGGAGGATGAGAAGGAATGAGATCGGGCAGAGTTGAATGCGAATGAGTTTCCCCGAGAATTAATTATGTTGAATTAATTTTTTTTTCTATGTTTATTATGCAATAATAGACTTAGCGTTCACGGACTTGCTTTGTTTGCACAGTATTAACAAGGAATATTAATGCGAGCTGCCCGGATTCTGCTAAAATTTGTCCACGCGTAAATGAAAAAAAAAAAAAAAAAAACCGAACGCATCGAACTTTCTTTTAAAATGAAATTTGGGGATGAAGCATCTCGCCGAACACCCTCGAGTGCAAGCTCCGTGATCGCGTGATTGCGTTCCCATGACTCCGTCACTCGCCAGATAGCACGGCAAAGCGTCGAAGGGGGCAGACCGGGGGGGGGGGGGGGGGGGGGGGGAGAACGCTGTGCGAATGAGCAATGTGGATAACTTGGAGAGGGAAGACGTTTTGGCGTCTCGTTAGCACTCGTATCAACGCAGCCGACTTCATTTTTTAGTGTTTCCTTCGTTTCAGAGCGTAAAACTTTCTCGCTTTGGATCTGTGGGATTTACATATTCAAAGTTTTCATGAGCTTTTTTTTTTATTCTCCAAGGGATCATTATTACGGGCTTATTCACGAAAGCCACTCATTCCTTCTTCTGCAGTCACTTTTTGAATAGCTTGTGTTTTCGCACGAACGGAGTCATTTCATTAAATCGGATTTTCAGTTCATGAACTGCATAAATCTGCTCATAATTTATTCCTTGAACTCAGAGAAGGAAAAAAAAATTGTGAACGGCAGAAGGCTCTGAATAGTGGGGCTCCTAAAGGATAGTATAGATATGTCTAATTTATTTTATTCTTTCTCCCTGGGTGACCTTCCATCGAAACGGCACCCTTGACCTTCGTACTTCGCCACAGGATCTTGCGGCAGATGATGCATCTTTCCTGAACCGCCGCCAAGTGCGATGCTTGCACCGGCCGACGGGCTGCCGATAACGCACTGATAACGCACCGATAACGCACCGATAACGCACCGATAACGCACCGATAACGCACCGATAACGCACCACTTCGGAGTGTCGCATTCGTTTCCATCGGTGGTCCTCGAATGCGACCTCCCAGGGCGTCGGCATGAGGAAGTCGTCCTCTGAGGAAGTCGTCCTCTGAGGGAGTCGTCCTCTGAGGACTTGTTTACGAAGCATCGAGAGCATTTTGCTGCTTGAGTGCGGCTGGATCAGCTGCTGCCGCTCTTCGTACCTCGAGAAAACACGAACGCAATAAATAGTTGGAAGTTTTAGGATTTCAAGATGTGTTTCACATTTGGGGAATCCCTTCAACCGAATTCTTTTACGAATCATTTCCTAGCGTAAGGACAATGGAACAAACATGGAAGACGTTATCTGTCCTCGTTTCATCTTCATTCCTTGGCTTCTTCCAAGTCTGAATCCACATCGCCATTCGCGACTTCAATGATACGGTCAAGATCCTCCCGTACAAAACGTTATTTCGTCGTTGAAACGTTGAAATTCGGACGAACGAATTTCACCGCTTTCCCCCGAATTTCACCGCTTTCCCACCTGAAGAGTCTTCTGACAGGACGGGGGAAAAAAAACGTTTTTTACCTTAGTTTCACCGTCTCAATTTTACCTCGGGGGGAAATTTTTTGTAAGGGCTGTAAGGCAATTTTTTGTAAATTTTGTCAGTTTAGTTTTTCAACGCCCGACTTTGTCTCGCACTTCATGTCTTCCCATTTCATTTCGGATGGGTGATTTTTGCCCAAGCTCCTAATTAAATGAGCTGCCCCCAACTATTTCTTACCCCGCCAAAGTAAGGCGCGAAAATTACGTCCTTGACAAATTCCCTTTTATTTTAAGTTTCAATCAAAATGTTTGTGCAGTTACTTCATTTCATGCTTATTCGATTTCCTTTTTCATCTTGCGTTTTCTTCTTCGGCTCATCCATTCTTCCCTTCAGCTTGTTGATAATGCAAGAGGACTTAGGACTTTCAATTCAAGTTATTCTTAACTATGAATCTATTCCATGCAAACATAGGCTTTATAAGGCTCATCCATTCTTCCTCCCCCCCCCCCCCCCCCCCCCGACAGAGATTCATCACTGGGCATCCGGCAAGTCCGACGGCCGCATCGCGGAAGGACGCGAGCGCGACGCGGCGATGAAGGAGGCTGAGGCCCCAGGGCGGGCATCCTCTCTGAGCAGCGACGTCTTCCACTTCGTGGGGGGGACCATCGGGGACGTCGTGGACGTCCTGACCGCCACCCGCCTGTCGTCCGCCGGCGCAAGGGTATGACCCACTGGCAGCTATGACCTTCTGGTCGACCCGGCTCCGTGTGTGCTCATTGCGTGGCGTAATTTTGCAGGTAAGAGCTGGCAGCAACCAGAAGAACTCAAGAGGAAGCACTCGAGACTTCGCAGATGCCACGCAGCACGAAAAATTCAATCAGTACGTTTTATTTAAAAATGGACACGATTTTTCCTTTCATTTTAGTGCTGTGACTGAAATAATTATATTTAAAAATAGGGAAAACATTGCTCTTGACTTCACACGATTTAGATCTTTCGCATGTTTCACCAGAAGCCCACAACTTTTATTCGAAAGAAAGCAGAGTAAGAAGTCCAAAACCCTTCATTGCAAAGCCGATTAAGAATCGTGTGAGATCGCGCCTCCTAAAACAAGGAGACAAAGCTTCGGGGCGCAAGAATTACCTGCGATGACTCAAAGTGTTCGAAAGCACGGTGAGACGTCCCCTACATGAAAAGCGATTCGTAATCCTCAGTCTGCACGAAGCATGGAATACGTTTCCATTGCACAGGCTTCTCTAGATATAGGTGCACGTATTACGCATCAGAAAGAGAGATGCTTCGTATCCGTCATTAGGAAAAAACTTCCGTGCTTGGAAAACGTCTGGACGAGTCCTGGTGTGAATGTATTTATCCTCATCGGACGAATTGCCTTCCGTTCTTAGTTTCTCAGCTCTCATGGTTCTCTGTTGGAACATGAGTCATAATATCCTTCTTGACGACAACAATGCTCACACTGTGGCTACATGCTAAACTCAAGGCCAACAATGCCACCAATTGAGATCTCGAGTTCGAGCTGGTGTCGCCATGAAGTCCTGCATCCTTGGCTATTTGCCTAGTGGAAAAACTTCCCATCATAGAGCGGAAAGATATTACTCCTCGACGTCGAGTATACTTGTCCTGATGCGATCCACAAGGTTTTCCCAAATAACGACGTTTACTCGACATCCGTGTGCAAATTAGGTCGTGTCTCATCTTTCCCCCACGTGACGGTGATGAGGTGAGTTTGCACTAAAGTCACTCAGTCATAGGCGTCACAACCAGGTTGGAAAGAAATCATGGTGCTTTCCTTTCCCATCACAAATTTCCGCCTTTCTCAGATCTTCTCTCCCTGTTCGTAATCCCAGTTAAACATACTTTCCAGCAGAATCATACGTACCAAAGATACGTTCGAACCATCCCCTCTTCATTGGAATACACGTGCACGTGAAATGCAAAGTGCATACGCAGTACATACAGTGATTATAATGCATATGAGGCATAATGGCGACCATCGAATAAAATTCCGACATGCTCCTCGTGTTTGGTAATTTTCGATTTGTTTAGGACCTTCTGATGCGAACAACCTCAAATATTAGCATATAGCTTCCTTCTAAAACGACGGTGATGGCAAAGAAGACGATTCATCACGTAAATCGTGCGAGGAAAACAAATACCAGAAATTATATGAAGTTATGGACAGTTGGATTGCAGACATTATAATGTGGATCGAGGACAGAGCAGATCAGTTACATGAAGAGTTATAACTCGGGTTGCACCTGCTGATGCAGTTCGCGTCTCGTGGGAACGCGAAAGTGCAAACGCACTCGGTCCCGTCGGAGCACGGCAGTGCGAAATATGGCCGGAATCCTCTATCGGAATGAGATTCTCATATCAGCTGAGGATTCCTGCGGGAGTTCCCTATCCACGTCCGTGTGGGAAGGCCCTTCAAGCCTACTTCTGGCTTGAGAGAGGGGGGGGGGGGGAGTTGGAACCAAAAGAAGCATCACCGACGTCTTCGTGGTGGTGGCGACGAGGGTGAAGCATGTGAGTAAAGATGGAATGCGGATGCGTCTTCCTTGGAGAAGACGATCGCGAAACTTTTCTTGCAATGCTTTCAAATCTTGAGGGGATTGCGCGAGTACTGATAGCGGTTTTTCTGCTTTACGATGAAGGAATTTGTCGGTAAAAAGAAAAATTTACGGTATAAAATTTTCGGACTGTTTGGAAGACAAGAATCCTACATCGAAGAATTCTTGTCAATAGCAAGGGCAACAGAAAGAAGCTAAACCAAGCTCTTCATTTGGACCGTGAGGTTATAAGCAGGACAGTCTAAAGAACGAGGAAAAGCAGTCGGTAATGCAGCGAAGTGCATCGAAACATGAGTGAGTTGTCCTCTGTCTGCCCCCATACCATAGTCCCTTCGACCCCACAGAGTCGGTGTACGATTACATCGAGCGTGAATCGAAGAAGCAAAATACGAACACCCTCAATGTTACGAACGCCATCAGTTCGTCCAAGAACTCAAGAACTAAGTCCAAGAACCCAATCCAACGATCACCGCGAAACCCAAAATGGAGCGTCCAGCGGTCACTCGACGACGCATCCCCGTCGGAACCCCCTCTGCCTCAGCAAGATTCTCCTTATCCAGCAAGAAAGAATCCAAAAAAAGAAATCCAATCACAAGAGCGAGACGCCGAGCCTCCACGACTATAGAACCTTCTCCACATATCCCGAGTTCACACTCTGGTCGAGTTTTGTTTCCTTCCCGCGCATGACCAGAAGAGATCTTGCTCCAAGCGTGGAACGGGCTCGCCAAAGCTTTTCTTACCCCACGTTTCCTTCATGAGGCCATTTCACGTCTCTCTTCTATTTAGCCCCCTCGTAATTTTAATTTCAGCTCGAATTCTTCTAGGGGATATAGTCAACATTGAAGCAACTCGATCCAGATTTGCTCCTACACGTTTTGCGGGGCAGAGCCGAAAGACCAACACACTTCTTTCGAAGGAGCCATTATCCCGATTAAAGTGGGTCTCTGGCTATTGTCCACGGAAATGTCGGAGCTCCCCCTTTCTGTGTGGACGAGAAAAACCCAAAGAGAGTTCGGGCGGATTTGCACTCGGTTGGGCATTCGCATGATAATTTCTCGCATTCGGAATCGTTCCCGTGGACGACCGCCGTCTTGGAAGAACGTATTCGCTGGTGTTTTCGAACCGTAGACCATTTTTCTAACGGTGCAAAATCCCTTATGATGATGCATAATTATTAACCTTCTTGCATCATTGCCCAAAAAGGACAAGAGAGCAAACCAGGCATTTGTTTAATTGACGATATGGGCATTTCAACAGTTAAATGCTTACGTGCGTTTCCTGCGTTGTGTGGGATAAATCTCTCTTTGACGGTGGTGATAAAATGAACAATTTAAAAGTCAGCAGTAACAAAAATTAGGATCTGGAAGTAGGTTGCAAATAGTGCAATTAATTTACCATGCCAGAAAGAGAAAGACTGGTTTAGTTCCAACACAGGCGACACTTGAGAATCGGTTTGTACAATGGGCCTACAGATGGCATTTCAATCGCTTAAGGGCCTCTGTACGACTTGAGAGACTGCAAGCATGCAACTCTTTAGGGACTCTTTTTAAATACCAGAATTTAAATTTCAGCGAAAGGGTAGCACTTTCTCGGACTGTTTTTGGCTGTCACATGCGACGAACTATTCAAGAACGAGGGACAAAGAAAGCACCGAATTCCCGTGAAAACATCGTTCAGTCGTGCTCCATTTGAATTCTTGATTTCCAAAGGTGTCTGCTGATTTTTACAAGACACTAGTGTAAAAGCCCGTGCTCGCACGAGCTGAAACAAGTCGAATTAGAGCATTTCGTGCATGTTTTTCTGCTCTTTTCTTCGTCAGTTTCGCTGTTTCCGGAAGCAGCGTTTTGTTCATGTCATCATGCACGCACATGCACGTCATGCACGTCATGCACGCACATCCACTGACTGTGACTCCAGAACTTCTCTCTTTCTCTTACGTTTAGTAGATCCCGCCGCAGAATAGTTTACACTTCGCCACCTATTTCGTGGCATTTTGAGAGGATCAAAATTTAAAAGAATATGAAGCACTAACTCGATGCTGGCAACTGACGTGAAGCAAACCGGCGACGGGACTGGTAACGCGACAAACTAAGACATAGGATCATTGCCAGCAGTTACCATGGCAACAACTTCCAACAATGAGAGTACGAGGCGATGCCTCGTACTCTCATTGTTGGCTGTGAGCACTTCGAACGGGCAGGCAATCAGTACGACGCACTTCTTATCGCCAAAATTAGGTCCCATGGCGTCAAAATGGTTGGAATTTTTCAACTTTCGACCCGATAATTACCGCCACCACGCTTTCAATCGACACCTATCGCATTAAAATGAGACACACCGAACGAATTTGGAACCCTCGGGAACCAGGCGGAGAAAGGGTTCCCGTCATCAGAGACTCCCAATTTCCCTCTTGTAACAATACTCACCGAGTTTCGCCTCGTAGCATCCTAAAGTGAGACGACTTCAAATATTCAGGCATACATGCTTTCGATCGGAGTTGATGCGTTCCGTCTTTTGGGGAAACTCCGATCGCCCGTATGCAAATCTCCAGCGAGCTCCGCTTCGTGACCTTAAAGTGAGACCTGTCGTTCTCATTCAAGAACCCCTGGATAGAATAGAGGTTTTAAGAGGTTAAAGATTTTGAGCTCGATAGGACCGATCCGACCCGTGCATCGGTCGTGTAGCGAGGTTGACATTCGAGTTCCCAGTCGGGAGCGAGCGAACGCGCGATCTGAGACCTGAAACTCGGAGGACGAAGCAGGCTTTGGACCTCGGGAATCGGGTTTCGGGCCGTGATGTGTGAGGGAAGGCGTTCAGGATGATGCTATTCTTATTGTCGAGATTTGGCCTTATTGCATAAAAATAGTTCGATTTTTTGGACTTTTGATCGAAGAAGTATCGCATCCAGGCATATGCTTTCGATTGACATCTCACTCATGAAAATCCGTCCATCCGTCTTGGAGGAGTTTCTTCGGAATGACACTCTGACACGGACAGATTATCCTCCATCTTAATACATATGTATTATGTGTATTATGTATATGCGGATGAGAGATGGCCGGGCATGGAATTCACGCACTCTCCATCCCTAAGAAAGAGGTTTTACGGCGTATATGGAAATTTTCATGATTTCCCGATATAACTGTCTTGCACGGCTTCCCATGCCAAAGGCACGCTTCGCCACCCTATCTTCTTCCACGGCATGCCCATTATTCTGAACCGTTCCACCCGAAAATGCGTTTCTGCGCCTACCTGCGCGGGTCCCTCCGTCCCCTCTTCAATACGTCATCAGAGGTCTGGAGTTCTCCAGTTTTAGAGGCCTAAGCGGGGCTTCGGGCCGACCACGTCAGTTCAACACGATTCGGCGGGAACAAAGCTCTGTCGACGATCGCTTTCCGGGTCGGGTGCGGGCCACGATTCGAATCGGGCCGATCGAGTTCAAGTCGGAAAAGTCAACCCGTGCTGGCCTCCGACGCGCAGAAAGACAGGAGGACCCGTAGGAACAACGCTCGCAGCGTACTTCTTGGACTTTTGACCCAATGAGTTTCGCCTCCAGGTATCGATTGATACCCCTATTATTAGAATCCTGTCTAGGAGGAACTTCCCAGAGAGACAGACGGATTAGCTTCTCATGTATATGGATAATTGGAAATATAGAAAATACATTTTTAATTAATGAGCTCTATGATGATTTGGTAATTTTCAGCAAACCTTCACTTTATGTAGAGTCGATTGACACCTGACTGACCTCTCTGTCACGTACAGATCTTTGGGAATAAGCGTGACAGGTTCGTATTATATATAAATTAGAAGTAGATAGATAAAGTAGATTTTCGAGTATTCTAATTTTTCCCCATGACGCTTCTAATCACTTGAGGAGTAGAGTGATCTGGAAAAAAAAAATCACCCAGGAAACCTAGAAAAATCTCGGAACACGTACGGCCAACGTTGTTCACACGGCCACGAGAGTTCTCCCGCAGGCGTTCCACGACTGCAGCCCAGGGAATTAAGTATACTCCCTTGTCCGGGCCTTATTTGCTGCGTGACATCCACATTGCTTTCCCGATCGATCAGACAACACGACCGGAAGTCATCGGCAATATTGTGTCACGTAGCGCCGAGCTTCCGGAATCGAATGCGTAGGGGACGGGTGGGGCACCACGGACCTCCAGCTCCTCGACCATCAAAGAGGCTCTCACGAAACCCACGATGTGCGCCTCCACAAAGTTCACTCATGCTCTCTGTCATTTTCTGCTCTCGTTTTCCTTAACAAGAAAAGAAAAAAGAGTAATTTTGAAGGAAAACAATTGAACCATTTGGGAGATGCATAAGAAAGATTAATTTCCTGCAGCAGACTATCTTGTAATTTTGCTATTTAGATAACTTTTGAGATGGTGCACTTTCCATTTAGACCTTTATTTTCCTTTCCAACTCGAGGAATTGCAAAGAAAAAACCAGAGTGGGGCGGTGGATATCGAACTAAGGCAAATTACGTTATATATATGATGTCTGCTTTCTCTCCTGACCAACGTCAGGACCAGGGTGGTGGGCTTCTCCATGCGGAGATCAGAAAGGCATGATATGCCGCAGCATGGAAGGCTTCTTAAATTCTACGCAGGTCCCTTCTCCCTGCGGCTCTCCCCTAACTCTCAGTGAAACATGGCGACGGCCTCATCTCCAGGCCTGTTGCGTACGGTCTTCCAAAAGACGCTTCTTATGCTCGTGTTACTTTTTCATGTTGTGAGAAGTTGCTTCTCCCTGGAAGTGTCTTTCTTTCGGGTCGGTAATACCCTCTCGAACGTGGTGGATATGTCAAGACTGTCGGAGTTGCAGCTCACAGACCACGTTCCCATCTTTGTTTACCTCCGTTCACTGGATTCTCCGGCTTCCACAGAAACATTATCTCGCAGTGGAAATGCCACAGGTGGAAGAGAAGTCAAAGAATATCTTCTCTCTTTCACCTCACAACGAGGTGAAAGGGGCTCAGTGTGTGAAATGAATGAACTATCTCAGTATAGTCCTCTGACAAACATTTTGTTGATCTCAGAAGCTGAGTCGCTCTCGTCCAGGTTAGAGGCAATGAAGCCATTGGAAGTGAAATTAATTCATATCAGCATTGATGCTATATATGAGTTTCTTCAAGACACATCAAGTGGTAGTGTAAAAGAGAAGGGTCAAGACAATGTCGCTTCTCAGGAAATACAGACTAAGCATGGACTTAGGCGAAACATTACTCATGTAGAGCATAGGTCAGTAGGCCTCGCTGTGAAGTCCAAGTTGAGAACTAGATCTGGAAGGAGTGTGTTCAGTGCCCTGAGGACTACATCTGGATACAGTTTATCAAAAGCCACTAGGACGAAACCCGGTTTCAACATGCCAAGTGCCCCAAGGACACATCTTCAATCCAGTGTCAAGACAATAGGCTTATATGGTTGCCTTATTGAAGTGCTTACAGAGTCAAATGGTTCTTCTCTAGTGAACTGGATTCATCAAGGGGATAATGCATCAATACTCATCCAAACTGATCTTTCTAGGTCTAAAAGGTACCCTGCTCTAGCTCTAGTCATTCATGATCCTAGTGATAACCAGCATATATAAAGCCTATGTTTGCATGGAATAGATTCATAGTTAAGAATAACTTGAATTGAAAGTCCTAAGTCCTCTTGCATTATCAACAAGCTGAAGGGAAGTCATGACAGGACCATCTTTGTGACTTGGCTCATGCATGATTCATGCTCATACATGATAACTTCTTCCATATTGTGTACCAGTACCTTATATTCCATGTGCAACAGTTCAATTCATTAGCCAATACCCCAAGGAAGGTTCACTTTATATCGATAGACATTGGTCCGTAATGGGGATGAGATTGAAAGTTGCTAGCTCACAACAATTTGTTGAACATCATCGCATCATAAAATAAATAAGTTTACCTTATTAATGAACCAATGTTTAAAATCCTTTGCTCTTTGGGAAGTCTATGAGCCATTTCAGCAATAAACAAATACAGTCATCAGCAGAGCAAAGAGAAGCAAGAACAATACCATGTTATGTAAATAAGAAATTGGTGTAACTGAAAATTCTTCAACAAACTTACTTATGGGCCACCTTGCATATAGTCATTATTGAAGCATTTGTAATAAGTGGAAGAAAACTGAAAATAGCCTTGGAAGAGGACATACAAGAGGAATTAAAGGACTTGTAGAATGAAACACTTTCAGTTGCAATGCACCATTCTTCCTCATTTCATCAAAAGGCAGATGTCTTTGATGGTGACAGGAAAAATGTCAATTTTTGTCGATTAAAGATAGATTCTATGGATTTTATTCAATGTGCTATCAATTCAATGTGTCTGCTGAATGGGTATTCAAATTGAGACAAATGCTGTTAGAAGATAGAGTCCTAGCAGCTGCTGAAAGATCTGCGAGGAGATGGACTCCTTAGAGATTAGAAAGTTCTTTAAAGTATTTGTCTTAATTTTAATACCCATTCAGCAGACTCTTTGGTAGTACATTGAATAAAATTTGTAGAATCTATCTTTCAACAAAAAATTATGACATTTTACCAGTCACCATCAAAGACATCTGTCTTCCCATGAAAATAGTAAGAATGGTGTATTGCAATTGAAAGTGCCTCATTCTTTGAATTTTGTAAATTGGATTCTTACACATACCCATTTGCACTCACCTAAAGTGCCCTAAAGTCTATTGAAGACATTATCTTGTCTTCAATAGTCTAAGATGGACACCATAACCTAGAATACACTACTCTATGCAGCTTTTTATGTACCACCACATTCTCTGGTGCATGTGAAGTAATAGCCATGGTCATTTTGTTTATAGCCATGTTCCTGGCATGTTGAGCACTTTAACAGGTTTTGGTTTTTCACTTTCCTATTTTATCATCCTTGTTCTCTGTATAGCTCTGCTCTAATTATAAGTTTTCCTAGTTAAAAATATAAAGTCAAACACATTCTTATTCCAGATGTTTGACTTTTGAAGAAAAGCATGTTAAACTTAAGGAAAGTCAATTGCAGCAAGTGTACCACATGTTTGAACCAAGTGACTGCCATTACAGTTCATCTTATTGGCAACCATCAACATCTTAGGATTGGTCCTAGGAATGGTCTACCACCAAAAATTGGATAAGGGAGGCCCAACAAGAAAGAAAAATTTGGGAAAGGAACATTTCAAGATGCCCTTGCATAAGTGTAGCTTCTTGATTCATCAAGTCAATTGTAAAATTAGAACATCAGGTTGCTTCTAGGCTCACAGAAAATAAATGGTGAAAGTACTCAATTGCATGTGTCACAAATTTCATCAATCAACTTCTGGCCGAGAGTAAAGGGTATATTCTTAATTCTGATTGAGAGACAGTTTGGGAGAGACCTTCACCAGTAAAGCCTATGAGTGCATCCTCTCAGAGTTAGGACAAGAAGCCATTCTCACCCCTGAAAAATGTAACCAATTGTTTTGCACGTTCAATCATATATTCCCCTGTCTGAAGTAGTGACATTATGACCAAGCTATTTCTTTCATGATATGAGGCTGTCACAGTTGATCATCTCTATGTTAGATATGCAAAACTTGACAGTTTAGCAGTCTATCTTATTCAATTTTTCAATTGACTACTGGAATTTTCTTCTTTTTATTTTCTTCTCTTGTTGTCATCAAAAAGATAGGGCTACTTTTTTACATAAAAAATGAAATTCCATGTAAAAGGGATCTTTTGACCTAGTATATATACTGAAAGCTGGTTATTTCTGAAGCTTTCCAGAAAAGTCTTAAGAAATCTATGAATTGTTTAGAAAATGAATTTTTAAGCATTCATGAAAATATCTTGTAACGATCCAAATGCTTCATCCTCCTACAATTACACATGTACTTCAACTTCCATGCATCTTGAGAGAAGCTCTTGATTACCTTGGATTGAAGAAAAGAGTTTCATATTTGCTCCAAAATGTTTCAAAATTACCTTTTGACTTACAGATTTTGATTGGTGATTATGAAAAACACTTTAAGGACTACCTGATTTTGAAGTACTTGTGTGCATCATGCAGTAAACCTCATGTGGGACCAGGGATTTATCCTTTACCTGATTTGCATAGTTTCACCTACAAACAAATGAATAAAAAAAAAATTAAAATTTATACCTTAATAACTCCTTTTGAGACTAGAATAACATGCCTGAAGAAGTATAGAGTATATGAGATTTATGTACTCATCTGAAGCACTGTTACAAACTGCAGAAGAAAAATGCCTGCACAAGACTGCCTATCGGAGATTCCATTTTAGGACCAATAGGTCAGCCACTTCAAACTGCTACATGCTACAAATGCCAGACTATATCACTTCCTGACTCATGCAGTGTTTCTATGAAAATTCACATTTAACAATAGAAGAACCCATGGCTCATATCCCTTTCAGAAATGCATTAATTTAAAAGATTTGAATCGCATCTGAAATGGGAATTCATCTTTTGTTTTTCAAGAGGCTAAACTAATAGTGTGCAGTTGGAACAGTTGAGATTTGGAGGCTCATGAGCTTGGGGGTCATTATAATCTCTATGGTCACTATCAGTATAATGGCTTTCTGGGTCATCTAGTATTAACATGGAATTCCCTGTAAAAGATATTCAGCAGGCATTTTATTTTCCTCTCTTGTGTACCTTTTGCTTGGAACAGTGCTTGGGTCTGTGCAAATAAAATTCATGTGCAAATAAAATTCATGTGCTCTAAAATTATTTTGGTTTATTGTTTATTTTTATTCTTATGTCTGTGTAGTCAGCACACCAAAATTATATGAGTCATGAATACTGGAATGCTAAATTAGATCTTAGATTAGATATCGTTCTTTTGTATACTTTCATGACTTCACCAGTCACCAGCCTCAACAATGCATTTTGCCAGCATTGGACTATTTTGTCCACACTCCCCTGGAAAAGCTGCATATCTGCTGACAAACCCTGACACTGCCTCTTTCATTTAATCTGTATCATGAAATCACTATCAACATTAGTATTCCTTCAAAGCAGGAAACAGATGACAGTATGAAGGCATAAAGTCTGGACTGTGCTGAAGGTGCACAAGGAATTCCCCCATTCCTGGTCTGGAAGACCATCACAGAAGAATGGGCAACATGGAGTATTATGTTAGAGCAAAACACCTTTGGTCACAAATCTCAGGCTCATGTTGTGGATGGTACTATGGAAAACAATCCTGAAGAAGGCCACCATAGTATTGACCATTATTGGGGATTCCATTTGGGGTATAATGAATGTGGATTATCATGCTACAGTCCCAGGAGACTCCCTGCCAATTCATTGCCTACTGATGCCTCCACCTTGAATTTATTTTATGATGATTTACTTCCACTGCATAAGTTGGCATTCACTCTCAGGTTCAAAGAAGTCCTTCCACATCTTATCAGCTGTCTTGATTTGAGAGAGAAATTGTGCACCTTCATGTTTCTGGTCCAGAAGTTGCTGATATTTTTGCACCAGCTGACTCATATACATTGCTGTAAGTTGGTGCTACTCCTAACATGCCAGAAGCCTTGCTGCCTTCAACTTGTCATGAACCATAAGATCAGAAGACACTGAACTATAAATGATGCCACACTTTTCAACAGGGCAACAATATGTTATGGATTGATATTGTATGGCCTCATCAATGCTTCTCATGTTCTCTTCAGTTGTCAATGTTGCCTGGCACCCATGCTTGTCAGGAACTCTGTCTCGTTACATGCAAAATGTCTGTATCACCTGCACAATTGACTTTGTGACTTAAACTTGTCACTGTACACTTGATGAATGGCTCATTTCACATTGCTTTGTACTTGTACTTTGTACTAAAATTACTGTGGTTTAGAATTTCATTCGCAGCTTTAAATTGTGCATGTTGCTATCAGTGCCAGCTTCTTGTTTGTATGCGATGAATGTTAAAACTCATACCTTCCTGCAGCAATTGCTATATTTGCATGCATGAGATACCAATGAGTGGCACTTCCAAATAATACATGTTTTAAGGTCAGCTTATCCATATTCGACGCACATTTATTTTTTCTTTCTGATCCACCCTCATAAAAAGTAGTAGATTTAGTTATGCTGTGAGACTGGAAGCAGCCAGATGAGGAGAGTGAAGTATGATCCCATTACTATGTTCTTTTGCATTGTGTGGCAAGAAAGAGGTTGAATGTTCTGGACAGTATATAGCACAAATGGCATAGATATAGGTACAGGGAAGGACCAAGGTTTATGAAGACACGAGGAGGGGTGACAATAAGTTCTAGGAGGTACCCTGTGGACCAGCTATTTTACTTTTTTTTTTTTTGAAAGAGTGAATGGAAACTTTAAGGAGTTGATGGTGAAACAATTTCAGAATTTTGATACATAGTCCTGTGTAGGCAAGTGACAGTGCAATGCTTAAAATTACTCCTGTTTCAATGAAGTCTGTTTCCTTTTTGGCTTTAACTTCCTTGGCATAAAGGGTTATGGAAATCTTCCTGGGAATGTGATATGCATGGGGTTCCCAGCTGAGAGCTACATTTCACTCTGTGGCCGGAAATTTCAGTTTGCTAACCATATGCAAGGAAATGAGTGAAGACATGGATGAAAGAATGTTGGAACAAGATCATTTCTATCATTTTGATAGCACTAGACTGCTACAAAATGGCATTTATTTTTAAGCCATGTGGGCTATCTCTTTCCATCCATCAATTGGTAGATCTTTGTGGCATAACAGCTTTGTTTTCTTGTTGGTTGGCAGAGATGTTATCATTGCTTTTCAATGAACAGAAATGTTTTTCTTTATACAGGAGCTCGCTTCAGTTGCCATTAGTCCCTGGAACTTCTTCAAATCACTTGGACAGAAAGCAAGAAATAAGCCATAGAACTGGTGCTTTGGAACAGCCTGGTAGCGTCTACCGAAACAACCCTTCAATCTTTGGAGTTCGTGGAGAAAATGCCAAGGAATCTTTGTATTCATCAGAAGGAATATTGCAAATTCTTGAGTCTTCATTTCAAAGGTTGAGATTTTTTGGCCTTGGGATATCAAACCAGACAAGTATCAGATTCACAACCGCATCTCAGGATAGAGGGGAGTCATGTGACAGCTCTTCGCTCACAGAAACCTTCCAGGTATTTTTTTCCCATTTTTCATTTGCAATTTCTCATGTCAATTGCATGATTTCCCTAGAATTGCCATATATGCAAGTTTGATTTTTTTTTCAGTTTCTTCCAGACATGATATTTAACACTTCTGCCGTAGCAAATGTGAAAGTAGATGCTCTACCAAGTGATGCTGGAGCTTACTACATATGTTTACAAAATGAAAGTGCACCTAATTCCTGGATACACCAGGGGGATGAAATTGGAGTCCGCATTCAAACATTTTCCAAGTCCATGCCTTTATGGTTGAGCCTGCTTTTCATATTCATCCTCCTCCTTCTCTCTGGAATGTTTTCGGGCCTGAACCTGGGACTTATGGCTCTTGATCAAACAGAACTGAAAATCGTGTCTATGGCAGGGAATGCAAAGGAGCAAAAATATGCCAAAGCCATTCTCCCCTTAAGACGCTTGGGAAACTATCTCCTGTGTTCACTACTCCTTGGAAATGTGGTGGTGAACTCCACATTGACTATCCTGATCGATGACCAAGTGGATGGATTAATAGCCATCCTTATATCATCACTGGGTATCACCATATTTGGTGAGATAGTCCCTCAGGCCATCTGCTCTCGCCATGGACTTGCCATCGGAGCTTGGACTTCTCCACTGACAAAAATTGTGATGGTCCTCACATTTCCGCTGTCATTTCCTATCAGTAAAGCACTTAACTGGGCCCTTGGTGAAGAGGTTGGAAATGTGTATGATCGTGAACATCTTAAGGAACTTATGCGGGTGAGTGCTTTTTTTAAGAATTAAAGAAAAAGTTCTGCATGTGGATAAGAAATTAATAATAAAATGGTCTAATTTACAGTATTGTATACCTATTATGAGGCAACTTCACTTTACTTCATGTCTGGGATTTAAAATTTTTCTGAAATAGTCAGTTCTTCTATAAAGAGCTGAAGAAGTAAGATTATGCTTCCACGAACAATATCTGTCGAGATGACTGTGCACAAATTACTCCAGAATCAAATATGGTTGCATCTGCAGATTTTTAAATCCCAGAGTACTTTATCCATCATTCTTCCATTCCTCTTAAAGCAATGCAGCATGAATTTAATAAAACTATCTTGCTGTATGGATATCATCTTATAGGTCAAAATCTTTTTATTTCAAAACTAGGTGAGCAAATTTAAGGATATTGAGAAGGAAGAAGTAAATATCATTTCTGGTGCCCTTGATCTGAAGAAGAAAACTGTTGCTGATGTTATGACCAAATTGGAAGATGTCTTCATGCTTCCGTATGACGCTGTCTTGGATTTTTCTACTGTTTCAGAAATACGAAAACAAGGCAAGTGAATTCTCATTATGTAACTATCATTATATATTTAACTCTCTCTGACTGTAACACTGTTTTCTACTGCAGGTTATTCACGTATACCCATCTATGATGGGTCCCACAACAACATAGTATCAGTGCTGTTTGTCAAGGACTTGATGTTCATGGATCCTGATGACAACAAACCACTAAAAACCTTGTGCAACTTCTATAAGAACCCTCTCTTCTTTGTGTATGAGGATACAACCCTTGATGTCATGTTCAATGAGTTCAAAGAAGGTAAGATGTCGAATGATTTTCCTTGTTTATTACTGTAGTTTCTGTTCTAAGTCTAAGAAGTGCAGTTTTGATGTGTTGGTCCTCCCTCAGGCAGTAAGGGACATCTAGCATTTGTGCAACGGGTTAACGCAGATACTGAGAAGGATCCTTTCTATGAAGTTCTTGGGATTGTAACATTGGAAGATGTTATTGAAGAAATCATTCAAGCTGAAATCATTGATGAGACAGATGTATTTAGTGAGTTGATGCATCCTTAGCTTTCCTTATCACTTAAGAAGCTTGATCTCCTCTGGATGGTGTTTATCCATGAGCACCTGCTCTGCCCCGCTCTGTAGCTGACAATCGCACTTGGAAGAGGAGGATGCGAAATGAGCTGAAGCATGATTTCTCAGTTTTTGCTCAGCAAAGAGAGACCCATCGTGTTCGGATGTCACCCCAGCTTGCTCTTGCTGCCTACCAGTTCCTTTCAACTTGTGAGTGGCTGTATAACACATTTTGAGGCTAATAGGCATGCTGAGAACTTACATCATCATCTGGTCTTTTCTCTCTTCCTGACAGCTGTTGATGCTTTCAAGCCCTCCATGATTTCAGACAGGGTCTTACGTCAGCTGATCAACCTTGATGTGGTCCGTCAGATAAAGATGCCAAAAGAGGGACCTCCAAATCCCAATGATAACTCCTTCTTCATTTACCAGCTAGTATGTATAACATTACTTTTTCCAAAAACTTCTCTTGTCTTTAGCAGATTGAGAATTCAAGATTTTATTTGCTTTCACAGGGAAAGCCAGCTGACTATTTTGTGCTCATCCTTGAAGGCAGAGTGTCTGTAATGGTCACTCAAGAGAACTTGACTTTTGAGGCTGGTTCCTTTGCCTACTTTGGTGTCCAGGCACTTGCTCTCAGTGAGCTTCTACTTTTTTTTCAAATTCAAAGGAAGATTGCATAATATATTAGACTGTGGTGAATGGATTTGGTTGTGGTGTCATTGTATAATTCTCTCAGGTCCAGATTCAGCCACATCTGTTAGTGGGCCTCTACCAGGCAGTCAGCCAGCAACACCAAGCATGGCAGGTCGAAAATTTTTGGGTGGAGTCCCTGTGAGCTCAGGTACAGGCTCATCTGGCAATATCCTGTCTGCACTCATTCAGGAATCCCCTACCAGTGGTTCACCTCATCGGTTTTCTAAACCACGGCAAAGTGCACAAGTAAGCCTGAGCATACCCCTGTAACTTACAGGTTGCCTTTCTGTTGGAGACAATGGGTTTGAATGTCCTCTTTATTTTCTTCATCCCCAGGCCTCGTTTTTTGTCCCTGACTACACTGTGAAAGCTGTGACAGATGTCTTATATCTTTGCATCAGGCGAATGCTATATCTTGCTGCTTGGCAAGCATCCATGCTCTACAGTCAGAAGAAAGAAGAGGAGGCTGAGCAGATTGAGTCCACCTTTGAAAAGGTTTGTCAAGTCAGGAGAACCACAAATGAGAATGCAGTACTTTAACTTTTAAGTGAAATCTTGATGAATTTCTCCTATTCAAACAGATATTGCAAGATGCAAACCCACATGCATCACCACGTTCATCATTTGCTGCATTGGAATACAGGAAGTCATTCTTAGATTCCAGTTCCAGCAGTGGTCAGTCACCCATCCCCACACCTTCTCCACCATCAACATCAAAAACATCTGAGAAACATGTAACAATTCAAGATACTTCCTCGGACAAGAATTTTGATTCATTGCATTTGAAGAAGAAAAATTTACAGGGGGAGCCTGGCTCTGAAGATGACACTCACCCCCAGTCCTGACAGTCAAGCCATGACTCTCTTTCTCTGTTATCCAATACCTATGGCAATCAATTCATCCACTGAGCCCCTTGACTTCCCTTTCCTCTTCTATATCTTTCATTCATCCTCTCTCTTGGCATGAATACACATGTACTTTCTTATCTCTGAGCTATCCCTAATCTGGCTGATATTGGAAACCATGCATCTTGAAGATGTTGAATTGTGTCTTTGCTAATAGGCATAAGCTTATATTTGAAGCTTCCTTGTAGGACAAATGGCATTATTAGATGATCCTACTTCAGTTTGTGTATCTGATAGGTACATCACATAATGATGCCCCTCATCTAGAAGGTCTTGGATGACATCATTGTGCATTATTAGAAAACTTCAATTGTGTGGCTTGATAGCAGCAATGATGATCTGATGACCTATTTTGGCAGGTATTATAGTTGGCATGTTATATGGAGTTTCATCATCCTATGAAATGAGAGGATGAAACAGCATTTTGTGTGGTTTTTGTCATCTCTTTCCACAGGATTATGTATACAATTCAGAATGTATATCTGCATCAAAGTAGTGATTCCAGCTAACTTACCCACCTTAAGAACATCTGGTTGAGAGAGGACAGCCTGCAGATCTATTGTTGAGGTTCTGTAGGTGTCTGACACCAAAAGAAATTCATAGCTGATATTCTGGAATGCCTAGCATGTTCCACTGTCGTCAGAGCCATGATTTCAGCTGGTTCTACGGACCCATTGTTTCTTCTGTCGTGTCACCTAGGTCAGAAGCCTCTTCCATTGCTCAGTATGGTACTAGGCTTATATTACTCATGGCAGTAGCCAGTAGCCATTTTCCTCAGGTTTATCTTTGCTCTCTTTGTCATGGTTTATCTTTGTCTACATTTTTTTATTATTTAAACTTCCTTGAACAGGATTCCTTCATATTCTCTTTCTGAATTCAGATTTTAAATGCTGCATGTCCTTTCCATCTTATGCTTCTTTCTTGTGGTCTCTGTTCACTTGCAGACTTGAAGGCTGTTCACCAAATCCCAAGTCCCTGTACACAGTGAGCTGTTCACACCTGAAATGCTTGCTTCTTCATCATCTGGAATGCATCTTCAACCTGGTGCTAAAACTACAGCAGGATTAATGCAGCATTCCATTTTTGTGCTATTTGAGAAATAATTATTTGCTAATGTGTCGCACTCACAATTTCATTTTCAGAGGTTGGATAGGGTTTCCCTCCTTTTTCAAGGGCTGCCTGCATGCCAATGGGAATAAGTCTAGTGGGATGATAGCATGCATGATGGAGATTGCTGCATTTGCTGCACCCTTACCTACAGGCCTTCTCTCGGTTGAAAAAATAAATTGTATTAATATGATCACTGATGTGAATTTCCTGTGATAAGGATGTAAAAAAGTACTGGAACTTCATCAGCTAGATTAAATCAGTGCAATCATTGGGATAAATGCTTTCAAGTTTTTTTCTTTCTGTTTTCATCTCCTTTCTTTCTGTTGGATAATTTTTTCCTGGTGCATTTTCCCAGTTGCTTCTGAAACCAGTGTTGATAAGTCTTAAATTGAAGTACCTGAAGATTCTTGCTGACACATGTGGCATTTAATTTTTTCTGCTTTGTTTACAGATTATGTTATCTATATGGATATGATGTTTCCTTTATTCCTTTGTGCTTCCATCACATGACAAGGCTAAAGTTATTTTCTCTGAGTTTTTCCCCCATATATTCTGTATGGGCACATTTGTCTTTATCCTACCTTTGCCACCTTATCTAATATGAATGATTCCTGAGTTTTGGAATGTATGAAGTTGAGCAAAATTTTCCTCCTGCACCGGTTCAGGCAGTGTCAGAAAATAAGAAATTGTTTTAATTGCTTCACTCTTTATAAGCCCCTTCATAGCTCTGCTATTGATTTCATGCATTTTAGAGGGTATGAAAAGTTGCAATCAAGAATTTTTGTCAGTGCAATGATGCGAACATATCAGGGGTGAAAAACACTGGGTTGTCGAAGCTGGTTTGTGATTCATCTGAAAATATTTTCCTGATCATAGAACCATTAAATTATCGTTATTGTGATAGATGCCAGTTGTTGAGGTCAGTACATATTTCCAGGTTTGATCACTCAAGCTCTCATTGTAACATCAAAATCTGGTGCTCTTCATAAAAGTGTTATTTTCTCTTTTTTTCAACGGTGCACCGGTGGTTTGGTGTCTGGGTCATTGAATGAAAGGTATGTTAAAGAAAGGCATTCATTTTCACCTTGAGAGGTGATGGGGTCCAGTTAGGTATAACCTAGTTGCTGATGAAGAGGATCTGGCATTGATACCGGTTTTTCGATTGGAAGGAAGGGAATTCTTCTGGGTCATGTTCAGGATTCACCGTTAACTGGTGCAGCATATTAATTAGAAGATGGTGTGCTTTTTCCGCCTGTTAATAACTGGTCACGATGAACAGGTGTCATCTATGATGCCAAAAAATGTTGTCATTTGTAGCTGTCACTATGACTTTTTTTTGCTAGTACAAATAGAATCGGGGGATGGTTTAGCCGAAGTCCGCATTGAATCTCACGCTCGTGAAGAATAGAAATAAAACGCTCTACTCGGCATATTCGTGTTGTATTTATTTATTTATTATTCATTCATTCGTTGGTGGATCGGAGACAGGAAGAGAAGTCCTGGGGATCCAACTCGTAGATCATCTGTGCGTAAGCCCATCACCCTAACAAATTTCGTCCCTGGCGAGCTAAAGCCCACTTGCAGTCGTACTTTATCGGATTCCTTATGCTTACATAAGTACCAAATAGTGCGTGACGACGAATGATGAGCTGTCGAGCGAACGAGAAAAGGGGAAAATATTACCTTGGAGATGGTCCCTTCTGGCGCTGGCCGTCAGCTGATCGAACAGAAGCAAAAAGGCATCATTTCGGTAAGGAGGTGATTGTGTTGTCTGACATGACGACTGTAAACGTGGCACCCGAGAGGGCATTCAATGATAAGTCTAGGAAATGCAGCTCGGGTGCATCGAAATGTAGCAAATATGTTCCAAGACTGACATAATTCCGCAGCAAAAATATTTCGGATGGGAAACATTTTTCACAAAAACTCGACTCGAGAATTTCAAGAGAACGTGATCAAATTCTTGAGACTTAAGGATTTGTCTGGGTCAAGAAACAAAATGTCATAATCAAAACAACGTGTTTGGGGTCTCTTTATCCGGCATCCTGCATCATGAGAGTCATAAAATCTATTGGGTCATGGATCGATTAATCACGATGATCCATTAATTCCCTTGTGGGGTTTTTTTCCATCCTGGTTCAAAGGCTCGGGATAGTTGAGGTTACAGGACTTGGCGATTTTTTTTTTCACTCCGCGAAGAGACTAAGAAAAAAAAGGCATAGGTATACACTATGCAAGCGTTGCCGATGAAAACGAACTGAATACAAAATCGCTCCAAGCCAATTTGTCATTGTCACTTACGAATGGAGCATCGATTACGATTTTTTATAAATAATTCATTGCTAGACTTTCGACACCAGCCCCAATTCCTTAACCGCTATGTTCTACGCATTTCGATCTATTCGTGCACGAGGAAGGCAATGGGATGGAAAAGCATTCAAATGTAAATTTGTTTTTAAATCGGGAATTCCAGTACCACGCTGTCGGAATCCGCGAGCAACGATGTTGTGACGAACGCTCCCTCGGGTGGATGTGCCCAAGGACTTCATTACTTTCCTTTAGTCATGCTATATTTAAACGTAATTTCATTGTTGCTTCTTAGGCTGTATTAGTTTTAAGAGCGAAGGAACCCCGAGGCCCACACTTAACCAGCCTTCTACCAGAACATTTATCTTCCATTCATTCCACTCGTCCATACAATGGGGGAATGAAGAGGAATGAGGCGGTCTCGACCAGCAGGGCGAAGAGCTAACTTCTGCCTAACTGCTCTTGAAGAGTAATGAAAGCAGACAGTGAAAGATAGCGATTTCTTTTATTCGATTTTTCTTGAAGCGTAGAATATCTGAAGGATTTTAATAGTAACTCGCATTCCTGCATCTTTGCATCTGTAAGCAGTCCCGTTCTTAAATCGTCGCCATCTAACAGGCACGCCTTCCTTCTTCGAAAAAAAAGAGGCTCTTTATCCTATCCCCTGGGTAATCTGTGTGTGCGTGCGTATGTGTGTGTCTAAGATTGCAAGAGTTGTTAAATGCAGCACCTGTTACAAGCATGCAGAGGGACGGAATTCATCGCATGTACGGTAGCGGCATGCATTTAACGTTTACGGGAGTACTACTGGTTCAAACTTCGGCAAATGTTTTACTGCATCCCACAAATTTGGTGAATTTCACATCTACTTAACTTTGGACAAATTTCACTCAATGACAAATGCGTCCATTAATGCAAATTAGCCTAATTTAAATTTCACACACTTTCGTGGAGCAGCAAGGTGGAGGGGAAGGTCATCGTCCCCTCTCATTCATTCTTCCCCCCAACCACCGAGCTTTAGCCCCCTCATTTATCAACTGGCCCTACAGCTATTCCCGTATGACTGGAAAGAAAGCGTCTTCCCTCCCCCTCTCTATTTGTAATGCAGCACACGGCCTCTCTTACAAGGGAGGTCTGCACGGGGAGGATCGAGGATCGCTGACACCATTCTCACGAATCATACTCTCTTGATATCGAATTTCTGTGTTGTATGTTTTTATTTTGCAGAATATTTCTGAAAGGTGAAAGCCAAATGTCTTGCGTATAAAAGCGTACCGTATGAAACGACCGTCGATGCTATGAGAAGTGTCCGCTTCATCCTCGTTCCAAGGAACTGCCAGTTAGGTGACGAAATAATACATAGGTTTCAGCTAAAAGGCGGGGTCTTGATTTATTGATGGTTCTTCTGCTCCTCGAGCCTAATCTCGCATATATACCTCGTATAATTTACAATACACACACACACACACACCTACGTAAAGGAGGGGCACGTCTGCCTGACCTACCACGTGGTTTCATTCCTCCGGGTGCCGAAAAAAGCTGTTTTGTTATGCCAGTTTACGTGACCTACATTGCATATTACGTGATGCATGGCAGGGTCAACTGGCATGGGATCGACTGATCCTTCGCTCCTTTGTCCTCGGGTCACTTCATCTGTCTTTGTTCGAAGGTAACATGACGGGTCTAAGATATACGTACCTTGAACGATACTATTTCAATTTAAAAAGGTGCCGATTAATCATTTTAAACGTCTCGATCCGGTATCGCGGAAGCCTCATGTCTTTCTACACCTGACATCTCAGACGAACGAGAAAGACTTCTGCCGAGTTAAATGAAAATACCTCGTCCTTCCTATACAAATACTTGCGGAAGACTCGCTGACTGACGAGGATGGATGGACAGGCAAACGGAATGAAGGCTGCCTTGAGTATGATGCATCACGAATCTACTTGCACAGACAGATGAGTCCTTGTTCATCATGATCCCTCGTTATTCACTTAGTCTGTTCACCCTATCCCCACGTCGAGGCTTCTCCTGATTGATTCGTGTGTTCTTTAAGGACAATCGGTAAGATTCTATCTATTTAGTCAGCCTCCTTTTGTCGAAAAAGAAATGGAACTGCAATCGCTTGGATGTCAGGGCGTCAACGGGAAGTGAGCCTTAACGAACGTTTGCTTGAATGTTTGAAAATCAATCTTCACAAACTTCGTACCATATCTCACCGATACGGCGAACTTGACACCTCTTTTTTTCTGGAACCTTTCCATGGAATACATTTATTCTAAGCTAAATTGGATACATGAAAACCCCCGCAGAGCAGCATGGACCGGGCTGTCACGTAGCCAAAGGCACACGTACCCATCACGCACGTCCGAACGACTGACCATCCCCGCGCACGGATTCCTCCAAGACATCGCTGTCATCCTCCTTCGCTTCTCCTTTGCCCTGCTTCATTTTGCTAATATCGTCTGCTTATAAGCGGCGAGCCGCTGGACTGGGTTTCGCCCGGCTCCCTCTCGAAGGCAAAAAAAAATTGGCTGCTTTAGCTCTC